GGCTGCAATACGGTCGGCGGTCGGGGTCGGCGGTCGGGGTCGGCGGTCGGCAGGGATGCAACCATGCTAGTTGAGGTGTTTACGGACTGCTGACACCTGATAGACAGATGCAGTCAGACTCGCCTTCTTCTTCGTTCAGCATGCATGCAAACCGATGACAATTCAAACTGGCGCCAGGCGCCCACACAAAACTCAGAGATATTCAAGTCGCGAACACCGTTCGGATACAAACTCGCTTCAGATTAGCTATGGCGCCTGAGAGCCTACACAGCTCCCTTCCTATACTGTATTCCCATCAACTTGTTCACACGCACACCACACTGGATCTCCCTGGATATCCCACGCACACGCACAAGTCACTCACTCACACGATGTAGACTAAATCTAGGCAACAGCGGCTATGGCCGTCGCCTACCCTGACTACTAGCAGCGATGGCTGCTCTATCTCCCTCGTAGCCCACTTCAACCTCGGGCATCTGCAGACCACCTCGCACAAGACGCCTGGGCAGCGCTTCCGCATGGCTCACGCAGAATGAATGAATGGCTGGATGCTGCCTCTTGATTTAAACTTCTGTTGGTCGCTGGTCTGCCCCTTTTCCACTGGCCCATGGTGCACAAAGTCCCACATGGTACTTGCTGACTGGGCAAAGTGAGACTGGGACTGGGTACCGCTGACTAAGCAAAGTTGGACTACCCACTTGCCCACTTGCCTCTGGCCTAACGTGAGCAACACTCGAAAGGCCACTTCCGGACCTTCCGGAAGTCTGTGGACTTGGCCTTTCGGAGCTGTAGCAGCTACGACCTTGACCTTTCCGAACTGTAGCAGCTACAAACTTGACCTTTCAGAGTTGCAACGGCTATGACCTATACACAGCTATGACCCCTACTCGACAGACCTACGGTTACACAGACCTAGGACAGACAACAGTCAACTATCAAAACACAGGTCACGGGTTCAAACACACAAGGGTCGACTTGATACTGTACACGGGTGAGGTAAGGTCTAGGGATCGAGCCCTGGGATCTGCATCTGTTACTGCAAAGGTGAAAACCGTTTCACAGCAATAGAATAGAACTGTAGCAGTCTACCGTTTCCAGTCCTGTTTATTGCTGGTGTTTGAGAACTGTTTGAAGTACGAGTAAGATCATTTGCTTAGTACGTGTAGGTCCCAGAGAGGACACTAATGCAGACAGTGATCTGCTCTAGCTGATGAGTGGACACGATAGTGAGGAGGAGAGAACTGATGGCAGACCAGTGACACGACATTCGGCACGTAGGTTGTCGTACATGTATCAGACCTTACGGCCTGGTGGAAAAAGGGAATTGCGTGTAGAAAGTGCTGCCCGTTGTCAGCAGCGACGTAGGGAGGAAGCAGCAGCAGTAGCACAGGCAAGAGCAGCCACAATGGTTACCGCAGCAGCAACCTCAGGCACATTCTCTATCTTGTATGTCTCTTCTAGCAACGGGATGAGTGCAGGTATTTCTGTCAGTCAGATGGCTGGCTCGCAGTACAGCAGGACAGCAGCCGGTCCAGCGACCTGTGCAGCAACAGGTACCAGCTGGACCACAGCAAAAGTGGTTTCCAAAGACCCCGATGTCTCCTCCCGAATCCTTCTCAGGGGACAAGAAGGAGGGGAACCTCAACACTTGGTTGAGGACAGTTCCAACATGGGTAAAGGCCAAGCAGATGCTTCCCGATCAGGACGTGATTGTGGCTGCCTCATACCTCAAGGGTTCGGCAGCAAGATGGCTGGATGGTATAGTTGGACAGACAGCTTTGGTCCGAAGTTCAATGACTGGGCGCAGACCCAGACAGTGGACTCGTTTCTGGAGTTGGTAGAACAGCGGTGGCACAACCCTCAGCAGGCACAGCAGGCCATTGACGCGTTGGCCAGATTGGACTTAAAGAAGTACAAGACAGCCCACAAACTCACCAACGCCCTAAAGAAACTCATCGTTGTCCCAGGGGTGCTGTATGACCTCCAGATCCTGCTAACCATGTATTTAAGATGTCTTCCTCCAGACATCAAGAATATGCTGGTTATTGAGGAAAGCATCGATGTGCACGACTTCCGTTCCTTTAGCAATGAAGCCTCAGATATGGAGGCAAAGTTAGGGAGCGCTCAGCGCGTTGCTGTCAATGGGAGAACGAAGCAGTCCCACAAGATTGGAAGAAGAAGAGTAATGATGATTGATTCCGATGGGAATCAGGAGGAGATACACAGCATTCCTGATATAGGCAGCGAGGAGAATGTTGAGGGAGGAACCCTGGCCGCAGCAACAAAGGGAAAGGCAGCTGGCCAGCGTAAGGGCGGTCAGCAGAAGAGTCAAGGCAAGGCTCGGGTTTCGCTCAATGAACCTGCATGGGTGAAGGCTGGACTTGAACATGAACATGATGTGTGGAAAGACCGGTATCCGAAAGGCGCTTGTATTAACTGTGGCCAGTATGGGCTTACGCAGTACAAGTGCAAGAAAGCTAAGGTCTCTCAGAAGATCCCACCCACGATGGGTGCTGGCGAATCTTCAGCCCATGGAGGTGCCTCTGCAAACACATCCCAAGGAAACACAACAGACCAGTAGAGGTTATAGCTGCCTCTACTCATGCAAAAGTGGAGGATGTTCCCTCACCACTTCACGAGATGGCCAAAGCTATTGACTCCTTAGTCACCACGTAGACAAGTCTAGACCAAACGATGCTCTGTTTGTTAAACTTGTACGAGTCCTTAGAAGATAAAACGAGTGGCTTGAAAAAGACCCTTGTGAATCTTGGGTGGCAATGTCAAGAGGTCCTAGAGGGGAGCACTCCGTTATGGAAGTCAGTGTGGGTGGTCGTAAGTGTGGCACTTCGCAGACATTGGCTCCACACAAAACTTCATTGGTCGCGACTGCGCTGAGAGGCTGCGCTTAGGGGACTGAGTGCAGCAGCTGAGTTGAGTTGTAACTTCTACTTTGGCCAGCAAGGAGCATATGGCTGTACCAGACTACGTCAAGGACGTGGTCTACACCTTCTCCTATGGACGAGGAGAACTAAATTATAAGATTTTGTTCCTGGTTAGCGACGACTTACTATTTGACATGTTGTTGGGTATATAAGACCTCGAGGTTACAAAGCCCCAGTTTGACTGGGACCAAAAGATGCTTAAGCATGTGTTGCCAGATGGAAGGACTGTTACACTAGCAAATTACAAGGCTAGTAGGTTAGTGGATTCTTACGGTTGCATGTGCACGTCGGTGTTTTATAACTATTATAAACAAAACCAAGAGGAAGGTAATATCTGGTCTTCGTGTCTAAGAAAGGGGAGGCCGTTAAATCACCCCAGAGATAGAAGTCGTCGTCGCTAGGTACCCTGATCTGTTTGAGGAGCCTTTGGGAGTCGAAAAGAGAAATCGTCCATGCCATAGAAATCATCCCAAGCAGTAAAACGCCAAAGGGGAGGATCTATAGGATGGCCCTGGCCGAGTTGGATGAACAGCAGCGTCAACCGAGACAACTCACAAAGAAGGGTCGGATACGGCCTAGTACATCTCCCTACAACCCACCAGTTTTATTCGTTCTGAAGAAAGGGGATCTCTGAGGATGTACATTGACTATAGAGGCCTCAATGCCATCATTGTGAAGAACGTTGAGCCTCTACCCCGCATTGACAACCTTTTGGATAGGTTGCAGGAATGTAGGTACTACACTAAGATAGATTTGTAAGTCCACTTATCATCAGATTGCCATTAGATTGGAGGATCAAAACAAAACCGCTTTTCATACCAAGCATGGTCTATACAAGTTTCCGGTGATGTCTTTTAGCCTGTGTAATGCGCCAGGTACATTCCAGCACCCCATGAATAGGGCATTTCACGACTACTTAGATAACGCTAGGATCCCACATGGCGCTTTTAACAAAAAATTGCAAAAGCCCCTCGAAAGGAGGGTCGTTGCCTTTTGGTCCGTAAAACTTTTTTCGGACTCCACAGGCCAGTCCTTGGAGGGGCTTTCGCAAAAAGCCTGGTGAAATATGTTGGTCCATTGGCGTCGGACCCAATCGCGCTGCCGTAAACGAAAAAAAAAAAAAAAAAAAACTTTGTTTTTTTGATGCTCGCAGCTTTTAGGGATCAGGGCAGGGGGCTGGCGGCTTTTAGGGATCAGGGCAAAATCGAGGTCTCATCGCGGCGAGTGTCATGGTACGATTGACACGACAGGTACACCGAGTAGAAACAACCGAATTTTATTTCGGATCCCGAACGGCCCGGTACCTTGTGGGATCCGAATTCAAGTCAGAAAATGGAGTCACTAACAAATGTGGGATCCTAGCCTAAGTTTATTATCGTGTACCTCAATGACATCCTTATCTTTAGTAAGACTGTTGAGGAGCACGCGCAGCACGTTGATCTTGTGCTTGGACTCCTCCGACAACACAAGTATAAGAACAACTTGGAGAATGCAAGTTCGGTTGCACCAAGATCTTATACTTGGGTCATGAGATATCCGCGAAGGGTCTAAGGCCAGAAGATGCAAAGGTGGCTATTATTAGAGACTGGCCACGACCTCAGTATGCGACGGAGGTCATGTTCTCGGAGATGACCGGCTGCTATGGCAATTTGGAAAGAATTATACTACAGTCGCTGCCCTCTTGACGGACCTTTAAATGCCTTGACACACCTTGGGAGTGGACTAATGAATGTGAGAGAGACTTCAAGAGATTGAAACATGAACTCATGCATCATGAGATCCTTATGCTTCCTTAGCCTGAGAAGCCATTCATTATGACGATTGGCGCAAGCCAATATGGCATTTGCGCAGTTATGGCTCAACATGAGGGGAAGAAGTTGAGGTCGATCGAGTATATGGGCAAGAAGATGTCATCTCATAAGTTGGCAAAGTCCACCTACAAGCGCAAGCTCTATGCCCTCTACAAGGCACTTATCCATTGGAGGCACTACCTGTTGGGCAGATTCTTCTACGTGAGATCTGACCATCCGACCCTCAGATGGATTAAGACGCAGCCTACACTCTCGGACGCACTCAAGCGATGGATTGAGGTCATAGATCAATATGACTGCAGGCTTGAGTTCTTGAAGGGTGAGTACAACAAGGTTGTAGGCACACTCTCACACACGGCATATTTCTTGGGTGCGCTGATCACTGAGTTTGGCTTATCTGACAACATAACTCGATCCATGGTGCATGGTTACAAGAAAGATCTCGTGATGATAGACATCACCCGCAAACTCGAGGCTAAAGATGAAGTTACCACTGACGAGTTTGTGGTGGTGGACGGGTTACTCTTTCTTGAGAAGGCAAGGAATAAAAGGTTATGCGTGTCGTTTAGTGAGTCTTTGCGTAGTTTATTTTAAGGAGAGTGTCATAATGCAACTAGACACTTCCGTTACAAGAAGACTAGTGCTAACTTGGTACAGCGTTTTCGGTGGACCTCTATGCTTGATGAAGCGAAGTGTTATGTACGTATTTGTCAAGCTGTCAACGGGACAATTCGAGAACTCAAGCACCACTTGGGTTAATCAACCCCTTGCCTTTTCTTGCTGGCCCCAGACAGAGCGTTTCCATGGACTTCATGGATACCCTCGTGACTAGTACGAGTGGCAAGAGACATATCTTTGTTGTAGATCGGTTCACCAAGTACGCTAGGTTAGTTGCCATGCGAGAGACTGCAAAGACTGAGTACGCCATCCAGTTATTCATGGATAACTGGATGCTTGATTTCGGACTGCCCAAGTCAATTGTTAGCGATAGAGATGTTTGTTTCACCATCGAGATGTGGAAGAAAGCGGCTGAACAGTTGGGCAGCCAACTCCAAATGAGTTCAAGGAATCATCCCAAAGCCAATGGCCAAGCGGATCAGATAAATCATGTGGAACAGCACCCGTTGCGGCATTACATCAAGCCCAACCTAGAGGACTGGGATGAGAAACTTCCTCACATCGCCAGCCTGTACAACAACGCAGTTTACAGCACCACTGGTGTCTCTCCGAATGAGCTGCACTTGGGTTGGAAGCCTAGATCAGCGTTAAACTTTCTCTTTCCTGAAAAACAACGAGCCGCGATGCCTGGAACCATTGAATTTGGTGTCCAGTATGAGAAGGAGTTGCAGCAGGCTGTCGAGCATATCAAGAAAGCTCAGGAATATATGATAGCATCTGAGAACAGACCCGAACAACAGTCCACATTTCAGGTAGGAGAACGAGTCTGGGTTAAAGCCAGTGAGTTAGGACAGGAGTTCGCCATTTCTAGGAAACTAATGCCTCAATACATTGGACCTTGGGAAGTCTTGGATATCGTGGGTAGTGATCCGGATGGTCCCTCCTATGTGGTTAGAATCCGTGGACACCTTCGCACTTACCCTGTTTTTTTATGCTTCCAAGCTTGCACCTTTCAATGAGACTGACAGGTTCCCATCAAGGAGATCAATGCTTCCCCCAACCATGGATGGCCACATGGACATTGACGACATTGTGGATCGTCGAGATCTGCCTGTCCCTCAGCCAGCTGGAAAAGGAAGACCGCCGAAACCTGCAAGAGAGTATCGGGTCAGATTCAGGCATCACACGGATCCAAATGAAGTCCGTTGGTTCACGAAGGAGGAGCTGACTAAGACGGCATCTCAGGCTGTGGCTGATTATGAACGGATGTTTAAGGGGAAACCTACTTCGTAGAAGCATCTCAGCGGACTTTTGAACCTAAGGAGGAGGGAGTGCGAAGGTTAAGCCCCTCACAAAGACTTTGAGGCCTCGACAGCCAAGAATGTACGGGACCCCAGCAAGCCTCGTGCCCACCCTAAGTGCAGGTATTTTTGACATTTCTGCATATTGGGGCACCAGACAGCTGCCACACACCAGTTGGTTACGAGGCCCAAACCGGTGTGCTCATGGCATTGTGAGCCTCAGGACATTTCCAGAAACAACATGGCCAGAGGCCTTCCTGCCCATGGGAGGGCAGCGAGTGACAATGGCCACATCGCATAGTTGGGCCGCTTAACTGTTGCGAGCCCAGGCCACTGTCTGCGTTGGGCCTGGGCGCAGACACTTTGGCCCGAAGCCAGGCTACTGGGCACACGCTCGCCAGGCCCAGTGCACCACGAAGCAGATCGCACTTTCCATATAGGAAACTGGGCAGGGCAGAAGAAGGCATTCGAGTGCCAGGCTGCTGGGTGACAGCGCTGCCATTTCGTGCGCTTGAGGTCGCAACCAGAGCGGCCTTGTGCGCACACGGCGCAGGGAGGTGTGAGGACACTGAGGTGGCAGTGGGTGCGAGCGGCCATAACCGGGCCTGCTAGCAAGGTGGCTGGTGTGGGCGATGGTGGTCTTCAGGAAGGGGACACACAATGTGGGTGGAGAGAAGGTGGTGAGATAGAGATAGAGAGAGAAGAGACACGTACCTGGTGTATGCAGCAGTCTGCATGGGCGACTTTGTCACGTACATTGGTCTTCGGCATGGAGTGATTCCTGGTTGGATATCGTAGTCTACGCCAGCGTATGTCTGAGTAGAGGTTGTCTGGCCGCTGGCGTCAATCAAGAACGGCGACATTGGATACATTGTTGATGATGGCGAGAAGAGGCTCGCATTGACATTTGAGTTCAGTGCATAGCTCTTATTTGGCTTGTCTCTCAGTGCATTTTGCTTTCTGCTTTGGACACGACTATCTGGTCTTCAGTGTGATATTGGAATTTGGTTTTCTGTCTATCGCTCTCGCTCAGTTTCCTTGCACAGAGAAGATTGAAGCATTGAGGATCAGGGCTCTGCCAAATACTTGTAGATAGTGGTCCAAACGTCGTTTGTTTATAGGCGGGGTCATCGGTTCAAATCACCTTGAGTCAAAATCAGAGTAAATTGATATGAAAATCAATCGACCATTATCACATCATATTACTATTTATAAGCCACAATTGACGTCTACTTTGAACTTTCTCTATTTGTCATAGAATTTGTGGTGCTTTTTTAGCTACTACTGTGTTATCTAGTTTTCTTTTGGTTGAAAATTTATGAACTTAATCTGACTTTTTATCACTTTTACTTGATTGTTTTGAATGTTCTTTACTTCATCAAAGTTCATTTGTTATTTTCATTGTCTTCGCCAAAATGACAGGACAACCTCATCAGGGAGTTGACCAGATCTTGCATGTAATGGGGCTAGGCCTTGGGGAGGACCTGGTTATATCCGTGTTTAAGTCTGTTTTCCCTGCATGGGCTGCCAGGCGCTTGCAGCCCCTGAGGAAGCAATTGCAGCCTCACCAGAACATGGCTGAGGAGGCCTTGAAGCTAGACTCAGCACAGAAATTTGAAATGGGGGTCCCAAGCGACGAAGCAGCCTACGCAGGGATCCATGCAATGACTTGCTGTTTTCTGGTCGCCTGTAGCCTCTCTCTGTCGAGGCTGTACTATAGGTAGGACAGATTCGCAATTTTGTTTGGCTGAGGGCTAACCGAGATACCTTCCTGTGAGGGAAATTCGTGAGGGACATATCTGCACATCGGTTCAGGGCTTTTGGCAGTTGGTACCGAGTACATCGCTGCTGCGCTACGCGTGAACCGGAAGTGGTGACGGCTCAGCGTGGAAGGAGACAGGCATAGCCAGACCTTCGGAGCGCCGGTCATAGATGGGACCTGTGCTGTACTCTGCCAGCACGCAGGGGCTGACAGAGGTCTGGGTTATCGAGGTCTGCTGGAGGCGAGAGAGATTGGTGCCCTGCTGGACCCTCCTCCGGAGTGGGGTCCCAGGGGGTTTGCGCTGCAGCCATAGCTGCAGCTTCTTCTTCTCAGAGGTCATCTTGTCAGGGTTTGGTGGCGCTGCTGCAGACTTCCACCCGGAAGTCTTCCGACACTTCATCATCATCAGATACTGTGGCGCTGGTCTTCTTCTTCACCCTTTGAGTGGCGCCTGGCCTCAGAGGCCTGTTTCAGGGTGGCGCTGCCCTCAGGAGGCTGTATCTGGGTGGCGCTTGATGTTCAGGGACTCAGGGGGTGTTACAAGTGCTAAGCCGGGTTGGGGAGTGAAGCGCTGCTCATTTCTGAGCAGCGCACTGTAGTATCAGGTGTTATCCTGACAATTCGAGACTCTGAGTTTAATAAACAGTGGGATACTGTGTTTGGACTATCATCGTTTCATTGTTTCCTGGATGTGATCTGCTCGGCTTTTCTCTATGACTGGTTGTGAGGATTGAGTGGAGTGAATTGCACTTTCAGTGTACTCTGTCATATCGCATGGTCAAGTCTTCCGCTGTGTTTATCTCTCCCTGTGCGGTGTGCTACTCCTATCCTCTCCCCTTCCTTCTGTGTATGTATGGGCATATCCGGAAGTCTATGTGAGTGAGTGTTGGCCTTCAGGCAACAAACAACCAGAATCATAACATCCACCCCCGTGCAGAAAAGGTATAGGGGAAAAGCTCATGCCGCATGTGGAGACTGCGGCATCGAGGATGTACGGCCCTCATGACACCTCAGATAGTCAACCAGAAGAAAAGAGAGGACCCAAGCTACAGGGAGGACAAAACCGAGCCCTCCTCGCTGCGGTATAGAAGGTGAAAAATCGGTTGGCTTGGCTGCTCCACCAGTAAGCGACTGCAGCACCCGAAACAAGAAGGGGAGCAAGGGGCAATCAAGAATGGAAGGCAAGGGCAAGGTAACGGCGGGTCTCCAAAGAGAGGAGGCGTGTTACGGACTTCGCCAGGGCTCGATCCCTGGTCTATCTTTTTGCTGTTTCAGCTGCATCCCGTTTTCGGCCTGGCACCCTTTTTCCAAACCCCTCCTTTGGTACCGTAGGATTTTGGACAACTGGCGCCATGCTG